GACATAATATTATACAACTTATTATTTTTCTCTCCTTAAATTCTTGTTTCTGTATGTACAGAGGATAAGCAAATGGAAATTGATATATTAATTTCATGCATTGCATACAACAGGCAACAGATATTGTGCCTGCCTGTTCTCAGTGCCAGCCTGCTACCTATCTTCATTCTAAAAAGTCTCTGTAGAACTACTGGAAATACAAAACATTTATCTTCCCAAAGAAAGTTCAATACTGTCTTGAGGGAAAACATAACATTAGAAGTTAAATCACACTTTTATTATATCAAGGAAGAACACAAAATCCCTAAACTTGCAGCAAGGCATCATACCAGGACATTCCAATATTTAATTAGGAAAAGGTTATGGAAGGGTGAACATCCTTGTTCTGTATATTCAAGGCTTGGCTTTTAGTTACTTCTCTGTGTGTGGGTGTATGTAAGTATCTATGGGCTATATTAGAATATTCATGTTGCACTGTCTATAGACAGGAGAAAAAGCTCTTGGTGGTCAAACAAACGCAAACAGTAAAATCCAGTGTAGGGTACTAGTCCAACAGTTCAAACAGAGCACTTTTTTTTTCTCTCTCTCTCTTTGTGTTTTAAATAGCGTGTGAAGAGTCACGGTCATTAAAATCAAGTGCAGCTTTCTTGCATTTACCTGGGGATGCCCCAGGAAGGTACATGTATTTCCAGGCTGGTTTTCATAATCTATGTTTCTTTGTTATAGCATTATTATTACTATGCACTTAATGCATGTTTTCCCTGTCAGGTCTTCCTTGTTGCCTGACTGTGCTTTTTCTTCCTCCTTCCTTGCACTTTTCCCCTTCTACCTGCAGTTTCACACAGCTCTGGCACCTCATTGCTGCAACATTGCATCTCAGTAAGTGTTTAAGAACATTGACTTTCCCCTTTCCCACCCCGAACATACTATTAACCAAGCTTTAGCTGACAGCTATGCAGTTATAATGGCAGCCAGCAGGTAACACGTCTTATTTAAGTGGCTTATGTATTTGCAAGCATAAGCTGTTACATTTTCACAGAAGGACTGCCTATTTCTGCTCTTAAAGTTTCAGTATTGGTGGCTCTGGTGTTTCAAAGTTGAAGTTTCAGATAGGCAAAGCTGATCAAACAACTTGCTGACAAAAGGTAGTTGCACTGCTTCTCTTGCAGTAATTCTGGTGCTCTTCTGAATTTGATGATTCGGCCCCATACCTATAAAACAGCAAAGATGTAAAGAGAGGGGCATTTTTTTGAAGGGAGGATGTGGAGCGGGGGACGGGAGAGGAAATCCTTTCAGTTTAGGGAGCTGTGTCAGCTTACTGAGAGGTCAGATGAGCAGCAGAGCTGCTGCAAGTAGAAGAGAACTGGTAGGAGCAAGAGGAGGGTAGTAAAGAGCTGGGAGCAGGGGATATGAGAAGAAGGGAGTCTTGCTGTAACTTTCTCCTGATGACCAGAAGCTGCTATAGCACATAGAATGGGATGGTTTTTCTGAGGTCCCCTTACTGATTTTCTTCATGTTGCGCAGACATTAAGGAAGAAAATGGGGGGAAAAAAAGCTTTTTTTTCCCAGTCAGTGCTGAAGCCAGGGGGAATAACTGGATGGAGACAAAACAAATAATCTGGAGACTAACAGGAAGAGACTTGGGTAGATAATAGCAAAATAATCTTGAGGGGAGGAATTATGATTCAGTGAACACTTGGAATCAAATCTAATACTAGGAGAGGCTGGCATAGTTTGTCTGCACAATATCTAGACTTACCTTTGGAGTGAGATTGAGGGTAGTTACCCAAGCATCGGTTACCATTTTTGGCAAACTGGTTATTTTTATCTTCCTATAACTACTCCTTTGTTACAGTTTGTGTCTTCAGTTATACAAGTGCAAATGTTCTTGAGACTGACCAGCATTTGAAAAGTAGCGTTATTTTTTGTTTATTGTTTGATCTTCTGTGGAATACAAGTCTGCAAGTATTTCTTGACACAGCTGAGGGAGTTGTGAACAGCAAATGTGAAGACAAAGATGAACCGAAAAGGGCAGGAAGGTCTTAAGTTGATGTGGCTGAGAGAAAGTGTTCTTACAGTGAAACTTTATCACACTGTACATTTATACTGGGACTCCTTGTTTGTACATCTAAGTGTTTCGGCTTTTTTGGTGATCTGTATGAATGTTAAAATGTTTCTTCATGACCAAACATGTTATGATATGTTATGATCATTGTGTTTTATAGGCAATTAAGCTGTAAAGCCAAGCACTTGAAAATTAGGAAATACCAGGATTAAGGTTGCCTTTGCAGAATGCATTTGGTGTTTTGCAATTTGTGTGTGCTGCAGCCTTCAATTGCTGTTCAGGTGATACATTTTTGTTTTTCCCAAAGTGCTCTGCCTCCTTCACTGCTGAGAACAGACTGTGCTCTTAAGAATCAGATGAAGGATTTTTAGTAGGATGTTTCTGTCTGCCTTGTTTAATGCATTAAATTGAAGATGTTCTGTGTGTAAGAAAAACAAATGGAGGAAGATGTGATTACTAGATTCTGCTTTAGATGCAGAGATTTTTCACTCCTGTCTCTTCCATTATTGTGATACAGTGGACAAACAGTTAAGCAATAATTACATAGTGTTTTAGTTTGTTTTATACAAGAAAGTGGTCTAATCTGCACAAACTATAAACTGTGTTGGTTGATGTTGCTCTTCAGTTGTTGCTGTTGGTGTTTCTAATTATCTTGAGGGCTCTCAATCTCTGTTAGGGGACCCTAGGGCATGTGAAAATTTCAAGTTACTTTTTTTTGGTGGGGGGAGGAGGTGTCCTGTTTCCTCCTCTGCCCAGGTTAAAGTGAGCGCACCAGAAATGGTAGAAGTTCTTCCAATCTCTGAAGGTGTGTTCTGATAAGACAGGCCAGAATACTTTCCCATTCAAGACAGGAAGAATTCAGATGGCTTGAGTGAAGCAGATCAAAATGAACAATTTGAAAATATCTCAAAATAGTTAACTAATATTCCCCATAGCTGGTCTGTCCTTGAAGGTTCTGCAGCAACTGGGTATCTCTACAAAAATGTTTTTAGGTCAAATTCCCTTCGTAGGTGCCTGGCTGATCTGCATATAACAGGCTGTAACTTGCATCACAGATGAATCTGAGTAGGCAAACTCAGTGCTTCTCACACAAAGCTGAAGAAAAGCTGCGTTCCTGGCACATGTGCTCTGATACATGCTGAGTGTTAGTGGGTATTCAGTGCCCTGGAGTAGATTGGGTCGGTTTGGCCCACACCTATGCCCATGGGTCCACAAAAGAGGTGGGTAACCTGCTCTCTGGGCAGACAGATTTGTTTCTCAAAATTAATACATGCTTGAATATTCTGCCCCTCTTTGGAGATGTGAGGAAATACATGCTGCAACCATCTGATTTAAGGGTATGTTTTATGAAACACTCCTGTTAAGAGACAGTTCTGCTGAAGAAAGGGTGAGCTCCTGCTCTTGCCATGACGCATTAACTCATTCAGTGTGTTTAGCTGTGGAACTGGTAGCCCAGTGCTGTGAGTGAGCAGTGCACTGAGACACTGTAGGCAACACCCTTTCAATCAGGTTCTCGGTAATAGCAACGTAGGCATTGATCACTGATCGCTCAGACCTCTTAGTTGTAATATTTTCCCATCCCTGTTTATTAATTGCAGAGTTATGACTTCTTAGTATTTTATTTTGTTAAACATTTTAGATTTGCTTGTAAGTTGTAAAATCAGCTATAGAAAGGAGATTGCTTTTAAAAAACAAGTCATTGATTTGTTTTAACTACTATCATAGCGAAAAGTAGGGTAAATTTCTTACTTATGAATCCTAACTTATGAGTTAACTAAAACAGAATTATAAAAGTGTCCTTGATAATGAAATTGGGTACTACTGATTTCTAGTGTGTGTACACAGACAACTTCTGTTGTATAAATTGAAATTGATTTATTTATTTAAATTAACTTGAAACCTGACTTTCTCCTTTCTTAATATTTAATCACAGCAGTCTGAGTTATTGAGGCATCCTGCAGTGCAGAGTTGTGTGTTTTGAAGCATGTGGGACATGGGATTCCAGCACTGCAGTTTAATCTGTGCTTATTATAATCTTGGCTGCACCCAGGAGTAACTGTTCCCAGAGTGAGTTGTGGGCATAAAGTGCTCTTTGCTAATGACTAGGATGGGGAGTTCAGTTCACTGTTTTTTTTTAAGCTAGAGCAAAACAGTTCTGGGATACTTTGATCAAAATCAGAAAAATTCCAAGAAACTAGATCCTGTCAGTTGAAATATAAAAAGTGACACATATTTCATAGCTAAAAGTATGTATTAAAAGCACTCATTAAATATAGGCAAACATGATGACTTAATTTAGATTAAGTCATTTAATCCTTATTCTTTCTCCCTCCCCCAATATTAATATCCTTTCCATCATCCTATTAAAAATGACAAGAAAAGCTCTCTAATTTGTTTCGTCAGCAGGAGACTGTCAGGGTTGCTTAGCCTCAAAAGTAGCTTGACATAACTCAGCTTCAGATACCTGATTCTGGAGTTTACCAATGTAATTGTCAAGAAGTATCTTCATTGAGGTAATGCTGAGAAAAAGATGGTAAAATGTGAAATGATTACACCATATTCCCTTGTGTGGAGAAGTGTGCATATATTACAGGAAGAGCTGCCCTCTGCCCACCTTACGAGCACTAATTAGGTATAATAACAACTGTGGTTTGACATCCGCTATTTGAGACATACTGCAAAACAGAACCATAGGGTGCTGCTTTTCATGCCTGTACGTCTGCTGGAGCTAACAATATTGTATTAATTCCCACTTCTTTTCTCAAAGCTTAACCACTTTCTTCAGCGGTGTTGAGGGTGTTTAGCCTGTTTATCAAGTACAGAGGGATTAGGGTTTACCTAATGTTTATCTAGTGTTTACCTTATATTTATCAGGCATTTACATAAAACAAACAACCTAAAACCTTCTTTGTGCTTTTTCAGAAACATCAGAGTCATGGAGGGGCTCCTGCATTACATCAATCCAGCACATGCCATCTCACTGCTGAGTGCGCTGAACGAGGAGCGGCTCAAAGGACAGCTCTGCGATGTTGTCCTTATAGTAGGAGATCAGAAGTTTCGAGCTCATAAGAATGTTCTGGCTGCCAGCAGTGAATACTTCCAGACACTGTTCACAAATAAGGAGAATGAGTCTCAGTCTGTGTTTCAACTTGACTTTTGTGAACCGGATGCTTTTGATAATGTGCTAAACTACATTTACTCCTCATCCCTGTTCATTGAGAAAGGCAGTCTCGCGGCTGTGCAGGAACTGGGCTACAGTCTTGGAATATCCTTTCTCACAAACATTGTTTCTAAGAGTCCTCAAGCTCCTTTTCCAGCTTGCCCCATTAAGAAAATATTGTATCAGGACGAAGATGAAGGTAGTTCTCAGAAGAGAAGTGTCATTGTTTGTCAGAACAGAAATGAAGCACAAGGGAAAAGTGCAAATTCAACACAGCATGATTTAAGCCATACTTCTAAACCTTCACCTTCAGTTGCTGTCAAAACTAACAGTAGACCACAGGTTACGAAACCAACTGAATCACTCCACAGCTTATCGCTGACAGAAAGAAGATGGCTGAAAGAAACCCCTGTGAGCTATACCAAGCTTCACGAAACTTCTGGAACTGTAGAGGATCAGAGCAGAGGTGGTTTACTGAAAAGAAATACCGTTTTGCCTCAAAAGCCTTTAGCAGAGAAGGAAGTTGCAAGTGATGAGCCAGGAGGCAGTAACCAGCTTTTAAGAGGAAAAGCTACAGAGATGTCATTAAAGAGACCACGTCCACCAGTGTTGTCTTTGCATGGCTCATCAGAATCTACATTTTTGTTGCAAGAGTCCGGAAAAGGAGGAAATGGTCAAGGAGAAGAAAGGAACTTGCTATACTACTCAAAATTAGGACTAGTAATCCCATCAAGTGGATCTGGTCCAGAGAACCAAAGTATTGACAGGAGTGGGCCACTTGTAAAAAGTCTCCTTCGAAGATCATTGTCCATGGACAGTCAGGTTCCTATTTATTCACCTTCTGTTGACCTAAAACCTTCACAGGTATCCTCCTCAGCAGGGTCTAACGATTCCCAAGGGAAGACATTTAATGTTATATCTCAAAAGGCATCCTTGAAAGAGTCATCAGAAAAGTTAGTCTTAGATGAGAAACCGCAGGTAATACACCCACATCGCCTTAGGTCCTTCAGTGCCTCTCAGTCAACAGATAGGGAGGTTGCTTCACCTCTCACAGAGGTGCGAATAAAAACTGAACCTAGCAGTCCGCTCTCGGATCCCTCTGAAATAATAAGAGTTACAGTGGGAGATGCTTCAACATCTACAAATAAAGATTTTGCTTTTAAAACTGAGGATGATCATAGGGAACCAATGAGACTTCCAGCTAAAAGGAGATTTCAAGCTGATAGAAGACTACCGTTTAAAAAACTGAAAGTGAACGAGCAGGGTTCTCCTGGGTCGGAAGATAACTTTGAGGAAGGCTCAAGCCCTACACACCTTGATGCCGATTTTCCTGACTCTGATGTCAGCAAAGATGAATACAGCGAGATGGAAGAAGCAAGACCGAACAAAAAATTTAAATGCAAGCACTGCCTTAAGATTTTTAGATCAACAGCAGGTCTTCATCGCCACGTTAACATGTATCATAATCCAGAGAAGCCCTACGCTTGTGATATCTGCCACAAGAGGTTTCACACAAACTTCAAAGTGTGGACACACTGCCAGACGCAACATGGAATTGTGAAGAATCCCTCACCAGCTTCCAGTTCCCATGCTGTTTTGGATGAAAAATTCCAAAGAAAACTCATTGATATAGTGAGAGAGAGAGAAATAAAGAAAGCTCTCATAGTTAAACTAAGACGTGGCAAGCAGGGCTTTCAGGGACAGTCTGCTTCACAAGCCCAACAAGTCATCAAGAGGAATTTGCGATCAAGAGCCAGAGGAGCCTATATTTGCACCTACTGTGGGAAGACTTATCGTTTCCTCTCACAGTTCAAACAGCACATAAAAATGCATCCAGGGGAAAAGCCAATTGGAGGAAACAAGGTTCCTAAGCAGAAAGACCATATTCATATTGAAAATCCAGTAGAAAACAAAGAGGTTTATCAGTGCCGTCTCTGTAACGCGAAGCTCTCTTCACTTATTGAGCAGGGTAATCATGAGCGGCTCTGTAGAAATGCTACGGTCTGTCCTTACTGCAGCCTTAGATTTTCTTCTCCAGAGCTGAAGCATGAACATGAAAGCAAGTGTGAGTATAAGAAGCTTACATGTCTTGAGTGTATGCGCACCTTTAAGTCATCCTTTAGTATTTGGCGTCATCAAGTTGAAGTTCACAATCAAAACACAATGGCTCCCCCGGAGAACTTTTCTTTACCCATACTGGATCACAACGGGGAAATAACTAGTTCATCAAGATTGCCTCCTCAGTCAGAAACCAGTAAAGTAAACAATTTTGCTGCTGCAAAAGAAGACAGTGTATTCAGTGATTCATCAGAACAAAATAATTTTGATTCTGAAGATTCCTCATGCCTGCCTGAAGACCTAAGTGTTTCCAAGCAGTTTAAAATTCAAATCAAGGAAGAGCCTGCAGATGAGGTGGAGGAGGAGGTCACCGAAGCCAGTAGAGAACCTAAAGAAGTAGTCTCGAACAAAGATGCTGGTTTGTGGCCCTGCGAAAAGTGTGGCAAAATATTTACTGTGCACAAACAGCTAGAGCGTCACCAGGAGCTCTTATGCTCCGTGAAGCCCTTCATTTGCCATGTGTGCAACAAGGCCTTCCGAACCAATTTCCGGCTGTGGAGTCACTTCCAGTCCCACATGTCACAGGCTGCAGAGGAGTCCACGAATAAGGAAGCTGAGATGTGTCCCCCAGCCGGTTCCCCATCACCACCCCCTTTGCCTCCGCCCCCGCCGTTACCCAAAATCCAGCCCTTGGAGCCCGATAGTCCAACAAGCTTGTCCGAAAGCTCCGCTACTACTGAGAAATTGTTTGTCCCGCAGGAGTCGGATACGCTCTTCTATCATGCCCCGCCACTCTCGGCCATCACCTTCAAGAGACAGTACATGTGCAAACTCTGCCACAGGACTTTCAAGACGGCCTTCAGCCTTTGGAGCCATGAACAGACACACAATTAAATAGCTTTAACAGGTTAAAAAGGTGGCTCAGTGGGGGCTGTTTTCAGGATCTCGGATGTATGCCATATAAACTAGAAATCTTAAGAGGATCAAAACAACAACAGTGGAAAAAATAGGAATTTGCGATGCTGCTTGGATTTGAAGATTAAGGTAACTAACTTTGTTAGTAGATAGAAGCCCGAGTAATTTAAAATACTGTGGTCCGGGATCTAATGGTAACAGAGTAACTTTAATTTCAATAACACTGAAATATGATCACATCTGGATTGTATGCATGGATCTTCATCCTGTGATGTTGGTGTGTGCGTGTGTGTATTACATATACAACTATATTAGACAAAAGAGCAACAACAATTTGGATTTTAACTGTGAGTGGATAATGGTGAAATACTGTAACCAACTTTTTTTTTTTTTTTAGACCACACAGGCTCCCTATAAATAGTTGTTGAGCACTTCAAGTTAGGGAAAAAGTGGATGGAGTATCTTACTGTATTGACTTAGGTCTTAGAAAACTTTAGCAATAACAAACAAACCTCAAGTTTGAGTAATCCTGACGTTATTGGATATGAATGTTTGATATTTTAAGGGAACGTGGAATTTTTTTGTTGTTATACGGAACTTGTGCAAGCTAAAATAGATTCTAAGGTCAGCAATATTATTACAAATATTTTATATAAAAAGTAGCAGCAAGCCTGCTTTCAACCATTTAATTATAAGTTTCTAAGAAAAAAATGGGGGAGGGCGGGTACATTGCTTTATATAATGTCCCAAAGACTAATTTACTACGGATATTTCAGTAGTTACTGTCATTGTATAAACAACCATCATAATTCAAATGGTACTCTTTATAAATATGAACTAAGATTGAATGGATGTCAGAGAAATTTCCTAATTTTTTTCTGCTATTTGTACAACTGTTTGTAATTCTAACTACAATGGAATGTATAACTATTGAGCTCAAAAAATAGAGCTTGTTAAGGGATAGAAGATATAAGGTGTGTTTCTATACACAGTAGTGAGCTTGGCCATGAGTACAAAGATACGTTTTAACAAAAATTAAAAATGTAAATATTTATATAGATACCTGTATAAATGAAGAAGTATGTATTTGAAATTTGTATTAAGCATACATATCCAGCTCAAAGAGGAAAAAACACCACACTACAATCACTGCATTTTATGAATACAATGGATAGAATATTTTTCTGCTGCTTTTTATCATTTGTGATACTGTGTTGCAATTTTCTAATTTGTTGAAAATCATGGTAATAATGGACTGCAGATATTTCATGTGGCTCCATTATTTTACCTCAAATCACAACTGGAACATTAATGTGAGTAGGATTTCCCCAGAAGCAGGTGGTAAATGAACAGTGGAACATTCTTCCACTGGAATTTAATCTCCGTGGAGTGGCGATGGGCACGAGTGAGCAGAAAAAAATACAAACAGTGTTTGTGGTCCTGACCAACTTTGGCTGGGGCAGGGAGCCTTGCACTGCACCCTGCCCAGTTAGAACCCGGTCCATGCGGATGGAGAGAAGCCGGAGCGGGGTACCTGGGAGCAGGAGTGGGGTTCAGCTGTCTGGATCTAACGGGACAGTCCTTCACCATCCAAAACTCCCAGACAAGTAAAGGAGAGGCAAACGCATACAAAGACTTTGCAAAATTAAACATAACCCTTAAGAATCCAAAAAGGGCACCCTTAGTTAGTTCTGCACAGGAGTGGCAGCTCTCCTCAGTCAAAGCCCAACCGTTTTCTTTCTAAACAGACATTTTTATTAGTTTCCCTGGAAGTTAGGTTTAAAAGAAATGGCTCAGAATGGACCCGACTTTTCTTCAGCTACCAGAAAATTGCAATGTTAGTTTCAAGTCTTTTCTGTTTCATTGTTGATAGAAATCTAAAACTGTTACTAAGTACTTTGTAGTAATGTGTTTTGTCCTATTCCAGGCAAATTATATCTGAATATAATTATGCTAATTGTTAGAATAACAGTTAAGCTCTGTAAGTAAAGCTGCAGTTAAAGCAGGATTCCTATGTAGCTGTTTAAAAGTGACATTTCTAGATGCTGGCTTTTTTATTCCACCTCATAAGACTAAATTTCCTACAGACAAGAAATAATGTCAGCAAAAAATGGTCGTTGCACTCAACCTGGTTTAATAAAATCAAAAAGCCATGATAAATATCCTTTAAACATACTGAAGAAAAGAAATCTGGGCGTACAAAATGAGAAAACATGTTGGTTTTCTAAAATGCTGCCTAAGTTTTCACCAATTATTCCCATACAAAGTGGGAATTCAAAAGTTTATATCTAGCCTTTTAAAAATCTGTACGCCTTCTAAAAGAAAATAACAATGAGTTCAATTATCATATGATCATCCAACTTCTGATTGGAATTCTACTATATAATGATAAATACCATACGTTTAAAACCAAAAGTTTGCGCAACATCTTGAAGAAACTTTGACCTTTTTCTTGGTGTAAAATGTATTATTTAAAAAACAACAAAAATGCAAAAGATATTTTTGGTCTAAATAGCTTCCTTCAAAGTTTTTATTTAGATTTGCTTTTCAAGTAATTGTTTTTGACTTTGAGCATGTTCTGTGTTTTTTAAATTCAGTTCCTGTTGTCCAGAAAAGGACTTTAGGATCTCTAAAGTTTAAATATGAGATGTTTATATAGCAGTTCTGGTTTTCTAATAGCTTTTATACAGTATCTTTGAAAGCCCTTGATAGAAGTGTTTATTTTGGAGGATATGGAATAAATATGCTTCCACTTATATAACTTTAATATATGTTTAAAAAGTTAAATTATGGCAGAAAATGCTAGTTACTTGTTTATAAATAAAGGTCTTCTAAAGAATGTCTGGTTTGGCCACAGGCAGAATAAAAGGCAAATCTATAGATACAAAACCCATCTTCATAATATTTTGTTTAATTTTGCAGCTTTGTACTAAAGTGAAACAATGTTAGAGATCGTAAATATAAAAGGTTGCTTTTATTTCTTAAAATTAGTGACAGTAATGTGCAGATGATTTAATATATAGATTAGAATATTTTATTCTTTCATTTTTAATTAGTTTTATAATCTATCGTTTGAATCTCAGAACAATCTTGCTTCTTTGTAAGTACAGCGAAAACTTCCATCACATTTAAGAGCAGCAAGATTGAGCCTGGAATTAATTTTTTATTATTTTTTTGATTTGTTTCTTTCCCTTCAGGCAGGGCTTTGGCAAAGTGTGTAGGCATGTGTTTAAGTTCATTGAGATCAGTCTTAATAACTATTTTTTTCCACATTTGCTAAAATTTTTTTGCTGAATTGGGACCATGACCAACCATTGACAGTGAGCAATAGCAGAAAAATACTTTTTTTTTTTTAACTTGTATAACCAAAAGTTAAAATGAATCTTCCTCTATATGAAAACTGCATATAGAGCTAGTGTGTAATTCTGCAGTTTTACAAAAAGAAAGGACATGAACTAGTGGCAATACTGTCTGAACTTCTTGGATTTTTTTTTTATTTGCATTTGTAAGGGGGGCTAAACCACCCTGGCAGTTGCCGGAGCAGGTAACGTGCTGAAGCAGTGGGCGACACTAGAGTTTCTCTTGCGGATTTCAGAACAGAGGTGCAGCCTTATCCAGTGAGCCAAAACACGGAGCTGCGAGACCCCTGCTCCTGCATTTCCTATTCAGGGGAGCCTTTCCAGGACAGCCACCCGAAACAGGGCATGCAGGTTTGGTCTGAAGCTCTGTGCGCTGTTTTTATTCTAAGCTTCCTGTGGTAAAAGTGGAAGCTTCTCCCCTGGGATAAGGACAGAGGCCGCCAAACTCCTCGGCAGCGACAGCGCAAATGTCTGGCATGAGCCTGTAAGGTGGCATGTGCCTATACTGTTCAATCAAATCGTTTACATTTTCCTACCGGAAGATTCAGATGAAAATCAAAGCAAGCTTAGATTTTTTTTTTAATGTTGCTGTTAATGAATCAGTGTTAAAATCCTTTTTCTTTATTTTTCCGAACACAGCCTGATAGTATTTTTTAATGTCATTGATTCTTGTTTATTTAAAATGACTTGTGCAAATCTGTACTATAACTGTTGTACATAAAGGGACACTATCAAGAGAAAAATTATATACTGTTAATGTACTTATCTGTATAACAATACTTGATACTAGTAAAAATCAAAGAACTTAAAAGGATCAGTTGACTCAAAACACTTGAGCAAGTTGGGCATAAAAATGCCGTGTTAAGGGCATTCTCAATTGTTTCAAGGATCTCTAAAAAAATTGTGTGAATTCTGTGGGTTAAGTTTATTTGTCATGTTGGTGTTTCCTTTATTCCAAAATAAAGCACTTAATCCACTTTTTTTTTTCAATTTCTCAGCAATACGTTACATTTTGAAGACACAAGCATTGTCCCTTGCTTGCCACTTTTGCAGCAGAATGTTTAAGCAAAATATATGTGTGAAAAAACAAACAAACAAATGCATACCAAATATAAATTTTAAGGCTTATTCTTGACAGTGTCCCTTTTTAAAAAGCAGGAAAATGGGATCATCTACAGTGCTCGGGTACAGGGGAATGCTTTCCTAAAGTTTTTAGAAGCTGGAGCTGTCCAGTATATTTGCTGTAGAAATTTCCAATTGCTATACAAAATCACTTGTCATTTTGAAGAGTTATAGGAGTAAGACAAAAGAAGCTGGTTTTATAATCCTGTATACCTTGTAGTCATTGTATATCGGTTCAATACACCAGTGTTGAATTTTAATTAAGAATAGGTTTTTACTTTTTTTTTTTTTTTTTTTTTAGGGCTGAGGATTAATAGGTTAGGATAACTTTTTCTTTAATGTAATGTAAATCCATTGCTGCTTTGTACAACTTTTTCTACTGTGTGTTTTCTTTACTTAGATCTTGACTAAGAAATGTTGGCGTCCAATAAACTTACACTTTGTTTCTTTTGAATGATGGTGTCTTGTATTGGAATCTCTTGGCAGATCGTGGTGTTATTGTGCATAGTGATGTCTGGGGGCTGGGAATTTTGTTTACAAAAGAGCGTCTTTTGATCTATTTGTTGTATGTAAATGGGGGTTCCTACATTACTAAAATACTGGCTTTTTGTTTGTTTCAGTAAGTGCCCCTTTGAGCCTTTTATTGGGGAGGAAAAAAAATGTAGAAAAATTCTTCAAAAGACTTGAGTACTGACCAAATTCTGCTTCCCTGCAATCAGCAATTAAAACAAGACTCTGGAAGCAAGGCTGCAGCAGCTGAGTACCTCTTTCATTTAAACTCGGGTTAAACTACATGTTTGAAAATACGCTGTTAGGATTGGTTATGTGATTTGTGCAGTGCTCTCATTGAAAACAGTTTTGCCACGTGTATCTCCCTCTGCTTCAGCCCCTGCCAGGGAAGGCGGTGTGCGTGCTCCGAGGATACACAGATTGATCTCTGTATCTTTTGGGAACGGGGTTTGCTAACTTTCTCTCTCAAAGAAGACTCATTCCTACCTTTGAAAACTTGGGCCTGTTTCCTCAGCTTCTTGGATTAATATCTACTGGCCTTCCCCAGCTTTCTTTGGAGCAGTATTCTCTGATCCTGTTGACCAATTTCACTCACAACAGCATCTTTATAAAGGTTAGTGACTGCGTAGCCAAGAAGGACATAGGGAGGAGGGAAAGGTGTGTGCTGAGAGCGTAGGTTTGATGATTATCCAGTCTTTTAACATGGTGCTTGCCACTGCACACGTGCGCTGGCTGGGTAGAGTGAAGGGGGCAACAAGTGGGGCGAAACGCAGCAGTAGGGCTGGAGCACTGCTCAGAACCAAGGGCTCCCCAAAGTATGGGACACCCCGAAGTTGAGAGGCTTTGGGCCCTTCGTGCTCCTTAAAGGCCTTTGAAAAGGGAGACAGGTTCCTAGGGCGTCTCTCCTTGGAGAGTCCCTCCATGTTAGAAGTAAAGTGAGCTGTGGAAAAGCTAGAGAGAGAGAGGAAGAGCAGCTCCCTGACCCATCCACACAATGGTGAACTCCACAGGTTTGGCCCCCTCTTCTGCCTTTGCCGTGAAAAGAAACAACTCTGATACTGCTACAGAGCAGTCTAACATCTGCTTACGTACACAAAATACCTGCTCTAGAGATCGTACAATCTATATTGACATAAAACTTAAAAAGCAAACCAAAGTGATAAAAAGTTAAGAGGCATTCATGTTGTAAGCGTTGTGCCTAATTTCATGGTCATACTTTGCTTTATTTCCAGCCTTCCACTTCTAAGGCAATTGCTCCATAGACTGATCCAGCAACTTTTATTTACTTTTCCATCCATAGGATGTTTCCAGT